TAGACGCGGTTTCCTTTGCTCCAAATCAATCTTGTGAACAGCTCCGTTACCCCCATTTTGCAAATGAGGGAGCTGAGGCAGGCAGGGCAGTGAGTGTGGCTGGGCGGGCTGCGCGTGGCCACCTCCCGCCTCTTTGCACTCGTCCCCGGCCTCGGAGCTTCACGAGCAGATGCCTTCCTGCCTCTGCCTCTCTGGGGAGGACGAGGCACGGCCAGTCCTGGGCTGTCACCCCCCTCCCGGGGAGGCCTGGCAGCAGGAACAGGCCCTTCCCCCAGGAGAGGAAGGTTCAGTCTGAGCACCTCCGGCTGTCCTTACAAGTTTTGTCCTGCATCATGCCAGCCAGGGCCAGGGACGTAGGGAGTCCCAGAGGCCCTGCTGCTACCTTTGCGGGGGCAGGGAGAGAAAAACAGAAATACAAAAAGAACCTCCCTGCCGGCAGCCGACATCCTTGGTAGGCAGAGTCAAATATGTTAAAAATTATAAGGGATAATTATTACTTATAAAGTACTCCTGTGCCGGACACAGCACTCCGCACCTTACATAATGATCAGCAATCCAATAGGTACGAATTATGCCCATTTTACAGATGAGAGGGTCTAAGTCTCAGAGAGGTAAAATGACTTTCCCCAACCCATCCAGGTAGTAAATGGTGTGCTGGGAATCAAATGAATCCCTGTCCAATTGGGGGAGGGGAGACATTTTCCACCAGGGACACAGTGCGGTGTGTTCTCAGAGATCCGGGGTGGACAGAGTGGCTCCCATTGCCTTGGTTATGTCATTTAAACATTTTTAAAATTTATTTTGAGAGAGAGAGAGAAAGAGAGAGAGAGAGCGCGGGGGAGCGCCTCTGCAAGCAGGGGGGGGAGCAGAGGAGGAGGGTGGGGGAGGGGGAAAGAATCTCAGACTCCATGACCTGAGCCAAAACCAAGAGTCAGATGCTTAACCGACTGAGCCACGATTTGCACACAAGAAAATTCATTTTAAAATGTGTGATAAATGTGTGCAACCACCAACAGAATCAAGAGAGAGAGCATCTCCACCACTCCAAAAAGTACCCTTGTGCCCACTCCCAGCCAACCCCGTCTCCCACCCCCAGCCCTGGTCACTAGGGATCTGTTTTCTGTCCTTACAGTTTTATCAGAATATCATATGAATGGAATCACCCAGTGCTTAGTCTTTTGGGCCTGGCTTTTTCCACGAAGCACAGCGCTTTCTAGATCTAGCCAAGTCGACACATGCATGTACATATGAGTGGTTTATGCCTTTTTATTGTTGAGTAGAATTCCATTGTATGGATATGGCACAATTTATCTATCCATTCACTATTTGGTATACATGATACATCTGGGTTGTTTCCAGTTGGAGGCGATTTCAAATAAAGTTGCTGTGGACATTTGCACACAGGTCATTTTGTGGGCAGATGTTTTAATTTCCCTCATGTGGATACATAGGGGAGGCATTGCTAGGTTGAGGATAAGTGTATGTTTAACCTTATGAAAATCTGTCAAAATGTTTTCCAAAGGGGCTACACCACCTTGCGTTCCCACCCACAAGTATGAGTTCCAGTTGCCCAATGACATCCTGACACTGGACGTGATCCATCTTTTTAATTTTAACGGTTGCAATAGGTGTGAGGTAGTATCTCTCTGTAGTTTGAACTTGCATTCAAACTCTTTGTAGTTTGAATGACTCATGATGTGGGGCGCCCTCTTCATGTGCTTACTCGTCATCGTACATCTCTTCTGGCAAAATGTCCGAGTGCTTTGCCTATTTTTTATTGGGTTGTTGGAGAGTTCATTATGTATTTTGGATGCAGGTCCAATTTCAGATATATATGTGGAAAGACTTTTCTCGTGTTTTGTCTTTCTTGCCACTGCCTTTTGAGGAATAGCAGCTCTTTGTTCTGACCTAGTCCAATGTGTCCATCCTTTCTTTTGTGGCGAGTACCTAGGGAAGTTATCTCTGCCTCACCCAAAGTCACAAAGGTATTTTTCTATGTTTCCTTCTAGAAGTGTTATAGTTTCAGTTCATACCTTTAAGTGGATTGCCAAACATTTGGACTGAGTCAGTCTCTGGATAGGATACGAGAGTTGAGGTTTATTTTTGCTCATCTGGAGCTTCCAATTTTCTGGGATCGTTTATCGAAAAGACTATCCTATCCTAAATGAATTATCTTAGCACCACGGTTGTGTGGGTGTATTTCTGGATGCTCTGTTCTGTTCCACTGTTCTGTATGTCGACTCTTACACCAAACCATACCGTCCTGATTATTGCCGCTTCACCAGAAGCCTGAAATCAGGTAGTGTAAGTTCGACCACTCGGTGCTTTTCCAGAATTGTTTTGGCTATCCTAGATCCTCTTTATTTCCATAAAAACTTTATAATGACTTTGTCAAATTCTAAAATAAGCAGACAAGAGACAGTCTGTTGAAATTTTGATTGAAATACCATTACATTTTAGATCACTATGGGAAGAATTGACATCTTACCAACATTGAGTCTTGGGATTCAGAAAGTCTCCCATTAGATATTCGTATGCTTTTCTGTGGAGAGGTATTTTAGTGTGTATCCCTTCTTTCATTTGTATTCTCCAACTTGGCTGGAGCCCCAGATCTTTCTCCTGTGCATCCAGCAGAGGCCTGTGGACAAGAGCTGATGAGGAGGTACAGACCCCCCGTTGTGCACAGGGCGCTTAATGATTCCAAATTGTCACACTGACCTTTACAAATCTGTTAAAATTTCACTTGTATTTTCTTACCTGCCCCTCTGTTGACCACTTCCTCCCATGCTCTGCCTCAAGTAGAACAGAATATACACCCTCTGCTGACAGGGGCTTGTCACTCTTTGGAATTTAGTTCACCTGCTTGCCTTGCAACCTTACCCCTAGGATAAGCTAAAAAAGAGTACCACTTTGTAGGGGTGCCTGGGGGGCTCAGTCGGTTAAGCATCCAACTTTTGGTTTCCGCTCAGGTCGTGATCTCAAGGTCATGAGATCGAGCTCCCTGTCGAGCCAGGCGCTCAGCATGGAGTCTGTTAGAGTTTCTCTCTCCCTCTCCCTATGCTCCTCCCCCCTCTAAAATAAATAAAATCTTTCAAAAAAAATGTGTGGCTTGGGCTGCTCAGGCCCCGGCCAACAGTCCCTACATGGGTGGAAGGGCCATAGGGAAACTGGAGAAGGGGCAGGACTCCTCGGGTGGCGGTCTGGGGGCTTTTTCAGGAACCCGGACTCTGACTCTGGCCCACTCCTGTGGCACAGCCAACAGCTCATCTGGTCCCCCACGCAGAGCGGGTCCCCTAAGCTCCATTGCAGGAATACGCCAGGGATGATGCTGTCCCAGGGAGACACCCTCCCCATCGTCCCTTGCATTTCCCGGTCGGACTGTTTCTGGTGTTTTCACAGGTAGGCAGGGCAAATGCTTTCACTATTTTTCAGATGAGCAGAGGGATCATGTCCTCCAGAATCTTAGGGCCCAAAGGCTCTCTAGAGCGGCCTCACCCCACACTAGACTCTGTAGGGCCCTAAAGGTCAATGGAGGTTCCTCCGGGCTGGTTTCTGGGTCCCTCTTCCCGGACTCGAGTACCACAGGCCTGCTTTGAGATATGACACTTCTGCCTGAGATGGCTGAATACGGGTTCCCGATGGGGTTCAAATTACCGATTCAGCCCAACAGCGCTGCTCCTTGTCCTGGTGGTGGCAACCATAGGAAGGATTCCTACGGCAGTCCAGGCTCAGTGCAGCCACCGGCAGGCAATGTCCGCCATGGCACACGAAGGGGGCGCCTCGGCACCCAGGCCCAGGTGTGATCCCTGCCAACAGTCAAAGCCGGGGTGCTGGGGCTCTTAGAGGGCCCCACTCTGGCCCCCAGGCCACGGGCACATGCCCACCCGGGCCCCGGGATCCCGCTCTTTGTGGGCCACGTGCTGGGTGCCTCGGCCCACAGAACTCCCTGCCTGAACAGTCATACGAGAGCAACTGTCGGGCCTGTGCTGACAACTCCCTAGGCTGGGCCCCCCCTAAGGAGTGACAGGTCACTGTGTGTGCACCCCGAGGCTCCAGTGGTAATTGTTTAGAACAGGTGGTTCCCAGGGAGAGGCTGTTTGCAGACGGATGTAAACGGAGTTCGGACTTGCGGGCTAGAGTGTCCACACAGGCATGTGAGGCCTGGAGGGGGTCTCTGTGCCTGGTCCTGAGCCCCACAACTGGGCAGGGAAGAGCCTGGGGTATATTCATTGAAAGACCATGGTGGTGGGGGCGCCTGAGTGGCTCAGTCGGTTAAGTATCCAACTCTTGATTTCAGCTCAGGTCATGATCTCAGGGTCATAAGATCAAGCCCCATTTCGGGTTCCACACTGGCCTTGGAGCTGGCTTAAAATTCTCTCTCTCCCTCTGCCCCTCCCCCCACCTCTCTCGCTACAAAAAAAAAAAAAAAAATGTAGTCGGGGATTAGCGATGTGTGACACGAGCAAGGTATGAGGCATGGTTGGCTGTTTTTAAGTTCTACGTGCTCCGTGTCAGCCTTCCCTGCTTACCCAGGCGTGTCACGTTCCTTCCCCCGCCTATCCGGCACTCTCGTTCTGCCTGGACTTTTCCGAGGAAAGAGTGCTCACCCCCCTCTATAGAAGCCACCCTTTGCATGTTTGAACAGCTCTACTAATTAGAACACTCTTCCCTAAGCACACCCCAAAACCACCTCCCAGGCACGTCTACCCTTTGGATCAGATTCTGGATGGTGACCTGCCCAAGGACACAGAGCTACTCAGTGGTAGAATTCCCAGGCCTGTGGCACTGTTCTTGCCTCTCAACGCTGAGCTGGTGCTCAGAGGAACCCCAGGATAAGTGAGGCCAAGGCAGGCAGGCTGAGGGTCTATGGCCGTGGCCCCCCCCATCCATCCCCGACCCCTGATCATGTTGCCCAGCAGAGCACATGAGAAAGTTGCTTCACTGTCCTTTTCTTCGAAAACAGAGAGAACAAGAAAAACACAACACAGCATTTTGGGGTCCAAAACAAAACACCAAGGACAATGTTAATAAATACATAAAAATGTAAAGACCTGGATCTCAGAGGCACAAGAATGTATATCCCTAACACAGGCAGGCTGCGTCTCACAGGAATGGTTCAGTGTGTGCCCCGGCATCCCAGGGAGGGGGCAGCAGCAGGTGGAGAGGACATGTGGGGAGCCCCCTCCAAGGCCTCTATTCTCCAGAGGTTGCAGACAGGGACCCACTGCTCCTAGTCCTCTAGCCTGGCTCAGAACAGCCCTCCCCAGCCCCCTCAGGGAAGGATGCCTGGCAAGCCCCTCCAGCACCTGCTGCCGAGTCCAGAAGACCCTCTGCACGACTAAGAGTAAGGACCCTTGGGAGAATTCCTGGGAACCCAGGCAGCTTCCTGAGAGTCAGAGGGTCTAGAGAAGTTACCTGCCTTCGGAGGTAACATGGAGGGCATCTGAGGCCCCACAGTACTGTGGGTCACATCTCCTCCCCACCCCAGCATGGGGCAAAGGCTCACATCCTGCCCTGGGGGTACTGGGCCACATGGCCTTGCCCTAGCACCACAAACCTCTGGCCCAGCCCGAGCCAGGCGGGAGAAGACCCCTGACTCCAGCAGGAGCGGTCTTTGGCGGAGAACAAGGGTTGATGGGGCACAACCTGAGAACTCTGTTTCTGTGTCCCCCAAAGTGACCTTCCAGGTCAGCCTTCCTTCATGCCCTAGAGCGATGGTCAAAGCTGACATTCCCGCTTCAGCCAGCGGCCTAGCACCGTTGTGAAGCCCCTGAATGGGGAGGACACACATTCCAGAGTGTCCGGAGCCCCCTTCTCTGGGGTGGGCTGGGGGAAGTTGGGAAGCACCAGAAGCGACAGGAAATGCCATCGGCAAGGGCAGAGGTGGCCACCAACACTGCCTTCCAACCGGCAAAGGCGAGCTGGATTCTGCCTCTTGGCCTTGGCTAGAGGAACCGTGTGGTGCTCTTGCTAGGAAGAGCCGGGCCTGAGATGAACTTGCCCCCCCCGCCCCCGGCACCGCCCCGGAGCCCTGCAGCCAGAGACTTGTGACCACACGCACCACGCGCCCCCTTCCTCGTGGCCTGCCCTGAGAGTGCTCCTCACCTTCCCTGTCCCGCTTCGCCTCTCGAGGCAGAGGGGCCGAACAGACAGGGCCTCCACAGTGGTCCCCACGCGTTCTGGCAAAGGCAGGCGGCCAGAAGGATCCAGGGTGGGGGGCCCCACCGTGTGGCCGTGAGGAGGAGGGGCTAGCTGGCCCTCAGTCCTGCCAGGAGACAGACAGGAGCCCCTGAGAGGCTCGGCTGTGTCGCCCCGGCTCCCGGCTGAGGTATCTCCGGTTAGGGGCTTTCCCTGATCTTTTTCTTCCTCGCACACCCACCTCACAGGGTGAAGTGCCACAGCCCCAAACCAGAACAACAAGAAGGCAAATAATTTAAAAGGAAGTCAGTGTTTGCCCTGCCCCGCCATGTGTCCTCCGAGCTGGCGGTCTCCGAGGTGGCACGCAGTGTAAACTTGACTGGCGGGACAGGCAAAGTGGGGCTCATGTCACCAGGGAGGCGCTGGGGAGGCCGGTGCCTGGGGGCTTCGGGTCTTCCCTGAGCTGCCCTTTATCCTCGGAGACGGGCACAGGTGCCCGGGTCCAGCCCCAAGGCAGTCCCCGGGGGGCGCTGGGGGAAGCACCCCAGGATGCTCGAGGGCTCAGACTCTGGGGAGGAGAGCGATGCTGGGTCACCGGGGAGCTGGTGCCCAGAGGGCTCGGGAGCTGTGTGGACCGGCCACGCTGATGGTCATCTGATCCTGTCGGCCCCACAGTGGGCTCCACAGCATCTGGAGGGGCCTCCGGTCCTGGCAGAGCGCTCCCGGGGGCGGAGAAGGGTGGTGGTGAGGCCGGGGCCGGGCTGGTGGCGGGGCCCAGGGCCTTCTTGGTACAGGACTCACAGCACAGCCGGTGGTAGCCGGGGAGGGAACAGTAGCGATCGAGCACCTCCATTCGGCAGAAGACGGAGCGGTCCCCCATGCACAGCTCTGCCGCACACACAGCACAAGGACCAATGCCGGGAGGGTGCCCACCCCCCCCCACTGGCCCAGCAACTGCAGGCCCCCCAGCCCCTGCCCTCGCTGGACTCGCTCTAAAGCTCTTTCCCAGAGGGCGCCCCAGGGCTGCCTGATGGAGAGACTGGCCAGAGGAAGAACTCTTATTTTACGGAAGAGGAACTAAAACCCCCTAGAGCAGTGGTTCTCAAAGTGGGGTCCCCACACACGAAGCATCAACAACACCTGGAAGCGTGTTGGAAATCATGCCAATTCTCAGGCCCCATCCAGACCTACTGAATCAGAAATTCTGGGGGTGGGGCCCCACTGTGGGTTTTAACAAAACCTTCAAGGTGATTCCAAGGCCGGGAGAAATCGGAGAAGCACAGCCCTATGTCCCCAGCCCTCAGACTTGCTTGCAAATTGGAATTGCCCCGGCGGGGGTGGGGGGGAAGGGGGGATTGACAAAGAGCTGCTGCCCAGCCCCCACACCCAGGGAGACTGCATGGTCAGTGTGGCCTGGGCACTGGGTGGTTCTGACCTGCAGTGAAGCTTGGGAACCGTGCTCTCGAGGAAGTGGGAACCCTCACCCCCTCCCAATCAACCCAAAGGAACTGATCCCCTCGGGCCGGCGCCAGGCAGGTGCCTGGGGAACCCACACTTGTGACGAGCAAATGAAACATCCTGCTACCCGTCAACACTCATTTGGAACACCTCCACCAGTAAATCTGGAATCAAGCAGATCTGGCTTCCAACTGAGGCTCTGCCACTTGAAAAGGGTGAGCCTTTGGGCAAGGCATTTAAACTCTCCAATGCTCAGTTTTTTCTCCTGTAAAATGGGGATAATGCTAGACATTTGCCAGTGAATAATAACCTTACGATGATAAATACCATTTATAAAGTTCCTGGCATACAGGGGTGCCCTCTATACTAGTTCCATTTGCTTTGGTTCAAATATCATCTAAAAATGTTTTTGTGTTTCTGGGATAGTTCCAGGTAGGTCTCTCCAGACAATGTGAAGGCAGGAGCTTTGGTTTCTACTAATTTTTGCCTGGGGCGGGGAGGGGAGGCTGCAGGGGGGTGGGATAGCAGTGGGGGTTGGGGGTGGTTTGGGGGAACCAGAGAGAGATGAGGGGGCAAAAATGGAAAGCCAGTGGCCTCTAGATGGCGCCAGAATTCCAGGACTAGAATCCTGAGCCCACCCTTTGCTCAGGATGCCACTTGAGCAGCCTGGTACAGGGGCGGAGCAGAAGCAAGGCTGGAGCCAAAAGATACTCTGAGGATATCTAGTGAGACCCCTTTTTTTACAGATGAGGCCACTGAGCTCAGAGAGGTTTAGGGATTTGCACAGGGTCACACAGCCCGTTGGTCCTCCACTAGAAAATAGGGTCTATGATTTTTCTGTTACTTGTCTTATCAGACCCTGGTCCTTGAGAAGGTGAAGAAGGAAAAGAAAGAAAAAAATCTAGGAAGGAAGCATAGGACACAGGACCAGGTTCATAGCAGGTGCTCAGGCAATATTAATGGATGGATTGGTGGATGGATCGATGGGTAGATGGATGGTGGATGGATGGACAGGTGGATGGGTGGATGGATGGAAAGATGGGAGGATGGACCAATGAGCTCCTGATCATGAGGCAGAAAGAGAGAATACTACTACTATTTTTGATGTTAGCTGACAGGTAGGAGTGCATGATTATTTCACTTAATTCTCTCAACAGCCCTATGGAGACAGCTCAGATCTTTAATTGCTTATCCCCAAATCTTGAAACCAGGTATGATTCATAATTCAGAACTTCTGAAGTTAGAAAAGTAATATTCATATTATAGAATATCCCGAGCGGGGAGTAGGATGTCCCCTTGTTACTCTGGCAACGTTTCTATAGCAAAAGAATACTGATCTCTTGGGTCAGGCCAGATTCTGCTGCCAAATGAGTTTGCACCAAATTTAGGGAAACACTTGCTGCTTTCAACATTTTGGAAGTGCAGATAAGGGTCTGTGGACCAGTATGGGCAGCACCCACAGCTCACAGCTGAGGAATCAGAGGCTCCAGGAGGCTAAGGTCACGTGGATAGACTTGAAGCTGGGGCTGCCCTATCCCACGGCCCATGCTTGTGACTTTGCAACCACAGGAAGGTCTGGGGAGGGGGTGGGGTCCCGAGATACACTTACTTGATGATATCTTGTTAATGGGATGTAGGGGCCCAGACTGTGGCACCCACTGTCCTTCTGGGGTCACAGGTTCCTGAATGTCAGTGCTCACTGTAGAGTTCTGGAGATTTCCTATGAGCGAGGAGAAGCAGCTCTAGGGTTTGGGATTTCTAGGGGGCAAGGATGCAAGCCGGGCTGGGTTTCAGGCCTCAGCTGGAGGAGCTGGGCCCGCCTCCCTTCCCATCCAGCTCACCTGCACAGGCGGGCAGGCTGCAGACCTGAACAGTGTCTGGTTTGTCCCCCTCGCACTGCCCGAGGCTGTTGGCATTGGTCCGGCACACCACCTGCCGCTGCTGGATGCCCTCTCCGCAGGTGGCAGAGCACTGTGGTGGGAAGGGCAGGGCCAGGCCAGGCCCCAGCAGCCAGCAGGGCGG